GAAATGGGCAATAAACGAAGGTATTGGAGCTCATTTAATGGAAGAACCAGAAATTGTCAGAGATATGATTAGAACGATTAAAGGTAGTGGATTGAATATACCGATTTCTATAAAGATTAGAATTCATAATGATTTAAAGTAAGTATTAAAGAAGAAAAATTTATTCCTACTCTCTCATAAAAGAAAATATTTATAATTCGTGCATTTTTTCATATAGAAAAACTCACGAATTTGTAAAACGTGCGGAAGTCGCTGGATTAGATTTCATAACTGTCCATGGTAGAACGCGTCGTGCAAAATCATCTTCACCCGTCAATGTTATGGCAATAAAATTATGTAAAGAATCAATAAATATTCCATTAATAGCTAATGGTGATGTGTTTTCATTAAAAGATGCAGATAAATTATACGAGGTTACCAAGTGTGATGGAGTTATGAGTGCAAGAGGTTTATTAAAGAATCCTACACTTTTCACGGGACTTGAATATACATCTTGGAATTGTATAGAGAAATTTGTTAAACTTTCTATTGCTTATGGAACAAATCATTTCATTTTTCATCATCATTTGTGAGTAAAAAATTAAATAATTTTAATTAAATAATTTGATAATTTTTTTTTTTTTTTAACTTTATTTTTTTTTTTTAGGTTTTTTAGTTTTGTATATGTTCGAAGAAGTTATGAGTAATGCCGAGAGAAAAACTTTTAATACATTAACAAGTATTCCAGCTATCATCGATCACTTGGAAGAAAATTATGGTTTACAAATATAAACACATACCACGCACGTGTACAACACATTTGTGTTTCTAAAAGATGAGAATAAATTCAATTTTTTATTTTTATTATTATTATTATAATTATAGATCACTATACAGTGAGGATGTAAATTAATACAATTATTACATAAATGCTATGAAACAATCAACAATAGGTTAGTAAATCTGAAAGAAAAAATTATTATTATTATTATTTTTACCGGAAGATCGGATCAAATCATCGGGGATCAAAGATCGGTCTGCATTTCATCATCATCGGATCTATCTTCCCTAAAACGCGGGTTCTATTAAAGAAAATATAAAAAGATTATTTAAATATAGAAAATATAAAAAATATTTAATAATATTTAATAATGTTATATAATATAATTACCTTAGCTTTTTCATGACCATAATTTTCTTCTTGTTCTTCTTCCTGTCTACCACGTTTCTTGGATGTTAATGCTTTAAAAAGTAATGATAAAGGAAAAAGAAAAACAACGTGAAGTTAAAAATAGTAATGAGAATAAAAAAAAACAATTATAAAATAAATAAAAAAATATGTATACGAACTTTTGCCTTTGTATTCTGCGGCACCAGTAGGAATTGTAGTAATAGCCTCGTATTCTTCTTTTTGTCTTCTTGCACGTTCTTCTTCTTGTTTAGCACGAACGTGACCCCAACCACCTCGTCCAACATCATAGTCTTGACGGTATTCATCACGAACCTATTACGAAATATTTAATGATTAATAAATAATAATAAATAATAATAATAATAACGAAACAATAAAAGTTTTGATATAATTTACCTGACCGCCAGACCTTCCTCTTCCATATTGTCTTCCATCTCTATAACCAGGATCTAAATCTGTCCTGATGATTCGTTCATCTAATTTTGTACTGTTTATATATTTCATACAATCTAAGGCATCTTGGTGATGATAATATCTTTAAAAATAAAAATAATAATAATAAGTAAAGGAATAGGAAGACAAATTTAGGGTTAAAGTATTTTAGAAAGAAACCTGATACTGTTGATCTTTGTAAGAAGAAGGTACACACAGGGGTTGAACTGTATTAGCCATTTCGAAACGGTTTCTTTCTGTACTCAATTTTTTATAAAAAAATAACTGGATAATTAATTATTATAATTTGTATAACATGTATAACTCCGGCCGGTTAAAGATATTTCCGATATTTCCGCTGGATTTAAGAATGCAGATAGATCACCGCGAGCCAAGAAAAATATATAATAGATTATGTCCATAATTTCACCTTTTCTCTCTTCTTTGTCTCACTTTTTTTTTTCATTTATCATTTCCACTTTTCCCAATTTCTGATTTTCATAATTAAAGACAAATTTTTATCTTTTTTTTTTTATTCTATAGGCACAAGGATGTCTCCTGGGACCCATGTTTTATGACCGTGCATGTTTTCATGATTGTACCTGCATAGGTTTATATTAAAGGGCTATACAAGGATTTGAACTAAGCTTTATTATTATTTTATGGAGTAAAGTGAAAATAGATATACTTTTTTGTAAGGTATGCATTTTTTTTTGGCTCTTAAATTTCTGATTGTAATATGTAAAATAGGGAAAGCGAAACAATAAATATTTTTACGTAATTATATTATTATATGTGATCGACATTTGGTTTAAATATAGATGGTCTCATTTCCTAATTCTTTTATTAAAACATTCATATCATTCAATGTATCACATATTGTTTTTAATACTCTTAGGTGGTCCTTGTTTTTGTTACCTACCATTTCAAATATTAGTGATTTTAACAAAATTTTTCATTTATTTATTACCAAAGATGAAATAAATTTGGTGGAATTCTCTAATAGTGATCTTGAATAGTTTTTTTTTTTTTTTTTTATTCATTTTGTATAGAATACAAAGTTTTTTTGCTTCGATATAATCTTCCCTGACACCAAAAAAATAGAATATGCATTCACATTATACTAATCTATTGTGGGTAACTTTTTATTCCTAGAATGCATAAATACTATTTACATCATCATTATTACAAAGATTTCTCACAAAATTGTTTAATATATTGACACGTTTAAAAATAAATTGAAAAATATAACTGGATCTTCTATGAATGATAATTATTATATTCTCACAAAATTAGCAGTCAATTATCATAGTTAAAAAAAAATATCGCATTTTTTTTACTAAAGAGGGATCGACATTTACTAATTGACTCAGATGATCGACACATGACACTTCCACCCGAATTATTATTAATTATATTATTGAAAGAGACGAAAAAAATGAAATAACTTTTTTTTATCGACAACAGCAGGATTTGAACCTGCGCGGGTAAACCCATCAGCTTTCGAGGCTGACGCCTTAGACCACTCGGCCATGTTGTCAATTGAGTACGAACAGTGTTGGAGTAGTTTCACTAATATCAAGCCAAAATATTATCGTAGTATAGAATTTAAGCCCCATTGTTTTTCCTATTTCGGTGGTGTCATGTATGTGAACTTACTGAAATAGGGAAAAAATGGTTTGCTTGGTTTCTTCATATTTTTTTCAGGAAAAATCACCTGTAAACATCCTTAAGCATTCTTTATCTTATTTATATGATCTAATGGACATTTTATCGTGATATTTATGCAATTTTTGTTGTTCTTCACATATCAATGATAAAAAAAAATGTTCATTTTCTTTTTTTATTCTGTGTAATATCTGAATATTTAGAAATATTAAACTGGTTTATCATGTGATTCGATGATTCTTTTAATTACGCGTTCGATGAGCAACTTCTTAACACTTTTATTTAAATGCTTTATGGAAATATGAATAATATATTAATTTAATATAATTAACAAAAAAAAACTATTTAATCAATTTCCATTCATAAGGTAAAAAGTCTTTTTCCTCCTAACCTCTGTCTCTTTGATATATATGTTTTTTATTTATATAAAATGCTTTTGGTGGAAGCAATCATTAAAATATTTAAAAGAAGGAAATTATCTATTTTTTTTTTATTCAATGATCATATATTATGCTAATAATTAATAATAAAGTATTTTTTAAACTCATGTGTGCATTTACAAAGAATTTAAGCATTTAAGCACGTAAATAAAAATAGACAAGGCAATTTCTTACTTTATGCTCTTTAATATTATTAGATGTTTATGTAATCATCAAAGAACGAGAATTTTGTCTTTTTAATTTCGTAATTTCATAGTTATATATATATTAACGTATGTATACTTTTCTTAATATACCTTAACCCAAGATATATAAAATTTCCAATAAAAATATTAATAAATTAATTTAAAAAAGTTTTAATTAGGTAAAAAATTCATAAATTCAAGTCGATTAATGTAACAATCAAGATAAACACTACATGTTGTAATCGATAAATGTTACAAGAATATAAATAAATTTAATTTTTAACCTTTTATTAACGCACGTTTTTAAACTCTGTAATTTGAGTTGATGAAATAGAGAGGTTCCAGACCGAGACTCTCAGTGTAGATATACAAGATAACCATGATTATAATATTGTCTAAAGTCACACGTGTGCGCGTTCACGTAAATATTTTATTTACAAATGAGATATTATTACTTCTGTGTTTCATTTCATTTATCAATTTCACGTATGTAATTTACATTTATTTCGTGATTCCTTTAAAATAATATTTATTTATTTAATAATGATAATATTTCTTTTTTTTTTTACTTTTATAAAGGTATGATAATAATAAAAGTAAAAAAAAATGAATATCGTAATCTCATTAAGTTGCATAAAATGTATAAAATGTGTTGAACGTGTCACTTTAGTAGTATTTTCCGCGTACAAACCTTGTACAAGGTGAAAATTTTGAGAATATCATGTGCTTGTTGACAAAGAATCAATGAAAAAAAAATCAAGACATTATCTAATACCGTAACAAATAAAGATGAAATAAGAGTGAGTCATTTAATAATTTTTTTGCTTATATAATAATGAAATAAATGAAATTTAAATTTTTTTTTTAAAACTCGAATTTATGTATAAATGCATTACCTTTATTTAATAAACCATTAGGGAAAGAATAAATGTGTGACTAGGCGAGAGTGTAACTGTAAATACAATATACAGTGTAAGGGGTTAATGAGATTTTGGATGCATGTACTTTGTGCTTTATGTATGCAATGTATGTTTGTGTTTGTAAGTGTGTGAATTAATTGAATGAATTGAATGAATTTTACTTATTTTATTTTATCTTTCTTTTTTCTTATCATGAAAGAATGTTTGTTCTTAGGAGAATTCATTTAATTTAAATTGAAATGTTTGTATGATGTTTATAATAGTGCTTATTGACTTTATTTTTAATCATTATTTAAAATTTATTCGATCTTTTTTTTATTCCAAATGATGATAATAATCGTTTACGCCTTCCTTCTTTAAGATTAATACATGAATGATTATTTTTTCCAGGTTTTCTTTCATTATAGCATGTGATATTGTTTTCTATTATTATTATAAACATTTGAACATTCTAGTTTTAGCTCGCATATTTAGAAATAATAAAAAAAAAACCGACAAAGAGAACATTTTCACGTGATCTATTGTTCTAATATCAACTTCGGTAAAAGTATCAAAGTTCTATAATTTATTTTCATTCCTCACGTTTACAATTCTTAATTCATGATTATAATCTTTTCTCGTGATTAGAATTTTGATTTTGATTTACTGTTTTAGAATAAATCATTCTTTAGTATAGTAGTACTACCTGATAGCATTGAATAAAAAGAAATAAACAATTGAATAAAAAAAAATCGAATTAAGTATGCAAAAGATACAAAGAAAATATAAAAAAGCTTTGGTATCAATGAATCAATTTAAAGTCTCCAAACAAAAAAAAAAATAATACTTTTTATCTTAGAGTTAAGGAGTACTTTTCTAATAAATGCCCGTATAGAACACTACAGTGACACATACTAAATACATGTGTATGACAATAATAAACAAATTCAAAAACACAACAGTAAACAAATAATTTTTATACCAGGGTTAAAATCTCAGATATATTACGAGAATACTTTATATTGTAAATAATATTATCTGATTCACATTGTAAACACACAAACCTGCAAATCATAATTCTCGTCATACACGAAATTTTTGTTATAGAAAGGACAATTTAAAAAAAAAATACTTAGGTAAGAAAAAAATGAATATATTTCTACAATTATTATTGGTATTAGTATTATTATTAATTTAATTGCATTATAATTTATAATGAAAGAAATCCTTATAAGATTATTATATGATACACGTAATAAATATTTATAACACGTAGACAATTATATAAAGTTTGAATGAAGAGATAAAAAAAATTTATTATTTGAAGAAGAAAGAAAAAGATTACATTCATTTTGCAATATAACAACTCTATTTACCGTTATTCAATCTGTTCCAATGCCATTTAATAGATAAATAATAATAAAATACGCGTATTTTTCTTATCTTCTTCGACCAAATCATTTTTACTTATTAAACACTACCTGTAGTTTTTGTATACTCAAAAATTTTCTTATCATATGATAATTTTTTACTCCTTTCTTTATACTTAACACTACATATCTGCTCTAAAAAAAA